TGTATTTTCAGTAACATATTTTAAAAATATACTAATGGGTGATATTTTTTCCCCCTGTGGCAGAATCGTGGCTACATTGTATAATAAATATTAAATTTAAAATATTTTTTTATTAACGAAGTAGGAAAAAAAATTTGATTATTTTATTTTTTGTGCTCTCGATATGAAAGGAAAAAAACTGCGTATCACTTGTTTATCAATGATAAAAATAGGAAGTCATTTAATGTGTCAATTTATTGCTTGTTATTCGACAAAACAAATTTATGTTTAAGCCAAAAAACAATACCAAACAACAAACAATATTATCTGAATACTATACGATTATGCAGACTATGTCCTTGTCCTTAAAACTGTGTTTAACAAAATAAATTTAAATTCTTTAAATTGTACCAATATAATAAAATAACAAATTGTGGATCTGAATGATTTCCTTAAGTTAATTCGTTATTTTGCTAATGCATGCTTTTACTGTCAGCAATGAGAAATTTCACTAATGTGAAAAATAAATAAATAAAATAAAAATCCATATAAATGCAAAAATGAACTAAGCGATGAAATATGAACTCAATTAATGAAACCATCTTGCATCGTTAATTCTGTGGCGTAACTACCACTACAATTATTAGATATCAATTTACTAGTACATGACACATGCTAACTCTTTTTAATCTTGGGGTCCCTTTTGATAGATTGTTGAGTTGCTTTTGTGACTGCGTCATCGGCTTCCTTGTGTTGTTGCTTCTCATTTATACACAACGGGATTCTGCACATTCTCGACTACACACATAATACAGAAGAGACTACACACACAACCGTGAGCGTATTATAGCTCTCAATACAAAAACTCGGTGAACTTAATACATCTCTCCCGGTCTTTCGCAATCTCGGCAACTAGTGGTATCCATTCATGGAATTCTATCCTTGATAAAATACTGGTGGGAGAGTATTGTGGCGTAACTACCACTACAATTATTAAACATCAATTATCACTAGTATATAAGACTCGGATACTACTAATCTTAGAGTACTTTTTGATAGATGAAGGTTGGCATAATCGATGCCTACTTTTCCCAGAATTCTGTTTTATCTTTCGATTATTTAAATGCAGTATATAGCTGCGAAATAAAATTCAATCTCTGGGTTGAATTTCCAATTTTAAAGTTGCACCGAGGCAGAAAACTTTTTCCGAATCTCAATTCTACAATATAATTATGAATTTAACGCCATTTTATTTATTTATTTTTTTAGATCTTTCCGCCAACACTTTTTGCGAAATCCATGAGTTTCTGCATGATCTCACATGGATTGCTATAAGTGCTTCTTTTCTTGCGTCATCTCTTAATTAAATAGATTTTTAAATACATTTTATACACGTGGATTGAATCCTTTTAAATAGTTTTAATAATCCCGTCGATGAAGGTAAACTTTCAAAAAGAGAAGTTCTCAGCACTTAATTGTTACAAAGTGCGATCGACGAATTTAAAATTTTTCTGCCTGTACTTTTTTTGTTTTTGTGTTTGCATAATTATAGTTTAACAGAATATTTATTTTTGCAGTACCGCATGATTTAATATTATAGGTTTTCCAGTTTAAAACATTTAAAAAATTTAATCTGATTAAAAAAAAAAATTCTCATTTTTTTGTACTTGGTGAATATTTTGATGAATTAATTTTGATTGACACTCCAGATCAGAGACGGCGAACCTATAGTGTGCAAATATTGAAGTGACACGCAAGAAGGACACATTAAATTACTTTTATTCATTAACATTTTATGATACCATACTCCATGCCTCAGGGGATACAGCGTTCGTGTCCCAATGGGGTGACCCAGGTTCGAGTACCAGCGAGATCTAGTTGATAAGAATTGTATTTCTGGATCGCCTCGGCACAGTGCTGACGTAAGAATATCCTCAGTGGTAGACGGATCATGGGTTAGAAACCACTTGTCGACGGGCTAACCGTGGGAGGTTTACGTGATTTTCCTGTCCATGATAAGCAAATGCGGGTTAGGACCTTCAAAAAAGTTCTCCACGAGAACTATTTTCACTCTATAGTTGATCCAGGAGTTCCCTTGTCTTCTGGGTTGGGTTCAAAATCATAAGGATAACTTTGAGTTGAACATTGTTCGTCGTAAACTCAGAATTGGATCAGCTTTTGAACACCGGTTTATTATGAAAGTTTCCTGCGTCTAAGTCTGATTATAATACCCCCCACACGCACATTATAGAAGTAAATGTTAAGGAACATATCGATTAGAAATTAAAAATATCAAGCATTTATTAACTTAATTATCCTTTTATTGTTTACCACAAAGTACCCCGCTTCAGGTTGTTCGACTTGAGCTCGATGTTAAACCGAAGTATTTTTAAAGTACTGTCACTCGATTTCCATTTGAAGAAAGTTGATATCTAAACAGCGAGTATATTTCTATAGTTTAGAATCAAAATGTAACGGTTTAAAGATTTTTTTTTTAAGTAAATTAAACACCCAAAAATAGTTAATCGTCATTTAACTTGCACGCTAATCAAAAAAGATTCGCCATCGCTACTCTAGACTTACTCTTTTTCATAAAGTTATTTTTTACTTTCAAAATTTAAAGTGAATGAATCTCTCTAAATAGTGTACAAATGGCCTCAATAGTTTCAGTATCTCTGAATCATTTAAGCGAAGCGAATTAAAAATAACAAAATTGCACGTAAGTTCAAATACAAAGAAGAGTGAATAAAAAATGTAGTAAGTGATGGGAATTTTTTTAACGCTTAAAACAATATAATTTTAAAGGACAAATCCATCAACAATGAAATCGATAGAATAGTTTCTGAGCAATAAAATATCAGAAACGTTATATCATTTAAATTTTCATCCAGATGAAAAAAAAATACACGTTTATTCGGAGAAAGTATTTCATTGTGTTTTATTTCATAACCTCAAAATAATTGGCATAGTACCACAAGTGAAGCTTTAATCATTGAACAAAAAAGTTATTCGTGCTTTAAGTTATACTTAATCAATTAGAACTAGAACTTGATCAATTATAGAATTGGAACTCAATTAGAAATAGAACAGAACTTTGGATATCATTTGGAAAATTGTAGTTTTATCATTCTCGCTTAGATTCATGTCTGCGGCGTCTTTGGCAAACTTCTTTTTATGAAGACACATACTTAGATAAAAACAAATAATAAAAGAAAAAAAAATCCAGGGAAATTTTAATTTTGTGAAATTATTTTTCATTCAAAGTCAAGTGAATCAAGCGAAAGCAGAATAGCTGTTTTATAAATTTGTTATAAATACTTGTATATTTTTGATAATATACAAATATTTTTTTTTTTTTGTTGAAAAAATTAAGTAATGACATTTTTTAAAAGTATATATTGTATTTTATTGTAACTATGCAATTTAAATCACTTCAGACAATTTAGTTTTTCTTAATTTTATTGTAATTTAATTATAAACGAGTTATGGTGTCTTTTTTTAATTTCATAATTTAGATTATTTACATAATAAATGGTAATTTAAATTTTAAAAAAATAATTAAGTAAATAACTATTTTTAATTTTGGAAGAATATTGGTATGATTTATATGTTTCAGAGCCATAATTAATTGTTCTTTACTTATAAAATCAGTGCATGATTTTGTATTAAATATTTCAAAATCGAAACTATCAAAATTAAATAAATGGTGTGAAAAGAAAATACTTTTAATGTATTAAAAAAGAGGCTTCGTATGTGCCGGTATTATCACATAGTACTTTATTTATCTTTTTAAATATTACTGTCTTGTCTTTAATTATATTAATTAATGAGTAAAAAATACATGAATAAAATAAAAATAATAGGAAAAAAATCTATTGTAACTCTATAACCTGGTAAATCGACGTGACTTCTATATTGTTAGCTACGATGACAGGTATTATTATTATTATTTTTTAATAATACTTTTAGTAAAAATGCATGTTCTTAGAACAATTTTGAAATATTCTTTGTTAGCGAAATGGAATACTTTTCTTAGATCATTGAATTACAATTTTTTCAAAAAGGCTGCAGAACTCAATAACATTTTGCCAGAGAATGTTTTTAAAATATTTTTTGAAATAGATTTCAGATAACTCTTGGGAAGCAAGAGAATTTTTAAGGCAATGACTTCGGTCTTCTTTCTTTGTTATCCTACGTACATTTGTATTCGTTATTTATTTCATCTTTCTATTTGTACCTTTTGCCTTGCCATTGGAAATTTTTTAAAAAAAAAGAAAAGAAAAAAAAGTATTTTTCCTGATCTTGTCGACAGTATTAACGCTAGTTAAAAAATTCTAAGTAGTATATTGAGATGTAATCTTGTCGACAGTATTAACGCTAGTTAAAAAATTCTAATTAGTATATTGAGATCCGTGTGATTTGCAACTGTACATTTTCCCAATTTTGGAAAAGGCACAATATAATACCAAAATCTTAAGAACACAATATGATTTTTAAAGTAGATCATTCAGGTCATGCTTGCAAATTTTTTAAGATTTTCTTTTATTAAATATATGCAATTACATCCGGCGAAAAATACCCTGAAGGCGGTGGCTTCCTTTAATCAAAAATAGTGCGTGTTTATTGACATATTTATTCGTTATTCCTTCATTAAAAGAATGTTATTAAGACGTAATCGAGACCAATGGAATGAAAGTAAAAGTTAATAACTTTGTTTAGAAAAAAAAGTTGCCTTTTAAATTGTATCTCATTTTGTCTGTTTAATTATTGTTCTAAATAAAGCGATGAGAGATATACTGTAGAATAAATTATTGACACTTTTTCCTTAAAAAAAAGCGCTAAGTCGGGCAGCCAAGAAGTAGTAAATGATGCTTTTATTAGATTTTACTCTAATGAAAGAGAGAGTTTAATTTTATGGAAGATGGAATATGCTTTTTCGAAAAAACAGGTTCGTTCACCTGTATCGGTGAGGTTGGTTGCGTTTTTCGCGCATGCGCCCACCTGTTTTAGATGGCCACAAGTACTGCCGCGAGAGAGTGCGACGGTCGTCTTCTTATCGTAAACGTGATTTAGAATTTAAATATCCTGTAAGTTGGCAGGTAATCGGTGACGTTTTGGTTCTGTGTTCTCTCCTACTCTATTGAAAAATGAAGATCCACGTTTATTTCCGATGAATGTGAATCGTTTGCGATTTTACACACCATTCAAAATGATTCCGAAGAAGAATATTTTGAAAGGAATTACGTTAGGCTTCGTGTTTTCATCGATTCTTCTTGGATCTTACAACACCGTAACCTCTGAGGTGTGCGTTTTTTCGAAATCTGTCAAATGATCCGTTAAAAATGTCCAAATCTTCCCTAAAAAGACCTATCACGCCCAATAAAGAATCCTTGTCGAATCACCATCATCCTGTGCAATTTGATTCCAAAACAACCCATTGGAGTAACAACGTGCAAGAGTGTACAGTGTGTACTGGTCCCGAGGGGACTTTGAATTTGACAATTCGAGGGGGTTCGGACAAAGGGGAGTTCGCTTATTTTGATGATTTGGTGCAGTCTAGGATTTCTTATCTCTCTGGATATTTAGAGAATGGAGATGTGATATTAGAAATCCAGGGACAAAAACTCGCTGGATTTACACAGAGGGATGTTGTGGCCTGGTTAAATCACTGCTGTAAAAGTGGGAGTCCTGTTAGAATATGTGTTACTAAAGGCGGTGAGTAGTTTATATTCTATTTTAAATATTTTTTGATTTATTCTACATGAAATTTCTCTTTCGTGTAAGTGATGCAGTTGTTTTTATATTAGAAAAAGAAAAAGTAGCAGTTAAATTTTAATTTTTAAAAGTAAAACTATATTTTTAATAGAAATTTCATTTATTATGAATGACATGTATGAAATTATAAAAATTATTTATTTTTCTTATTTAAATGTATCACTTAAATTTATGAAAAGATAAATCCCTTCATTTTAATTTTTTAAGGGAAAAATTATACTAAGTAAAGAATGCATATTTCTTTTTGAAAAGTTGATTTTGCCAAAATTTATTTCTATTTCTAAAACTTTATTAGCAAGTTTAATTAAACAACTGATGTGTTTAACCTTTTAATATTAATATTTTGATTATCTATAAGTAAAATGAAGCATAAAAAGTATTCTGAAAGTGATATAGAAATTATTAAATTTATTATGATTTAAATTGGAAATAAGCTGTATAAATTATGTGATAACTTTTTACTTGCTATCAGGTTCAGTCCCATTTTTCATAAATTTTGGATTCTAATTGATCATCGAAGTATTCATTCATTAGTAAATATAATTCCATTATTAGCATTAAAAATTTCTTAAATAATTGTCAAATTAATTAACATTTTTTAGAATCATTTTATTCTTTTCTCTGAAGTATCTGTAATTTACATTAGATGCAATTTATGCAATATAGCAGTTAACTCTGTATAATTTGTAGAATATAGCTATTTAAATTGTTCAAATAGATTTATGTTTTCTATAAAATAAGCCATTCCTAGAAATTTTTTCGTTTTTAAATCCTTTTTTTTTTAGAAAAAAAATTCACTTAAAATTGATCATACAAAATTTTCCAAAATGTTGGTTTGCAAATGGCAATTTTTTAAAAAATTTTCTAATTTGAAGTGCTAAGTTAGCAGTAAAATTACTTTTATTTACTTTAGCATTCTTAACATTTATGTCTATTAAATTTATGTCGAATTTAGCTACCTAGGCAATGTATTTACTTATTATTATATTGTTATATTGCTTCAACAACATTGAATAGATTTTCCTTTAAAAATTGTGTTTTTATCACAAAGAGCTGCAGTATTTGTCCTGTCTTTCAGAAATTTTTCCTCCAAAGTATAAAAGTACAGAAAAAATTTAAAATTGTACAGTATCAATAATTATTACATATTTAAAAGCTTAACTGTTTATTTCTTCAATTTCAATTTAGTTGAGATTTGATAAACATTATACAGAATATGTTGTTCGAAAATAAAGAATGCAGTTTGTTAAGAGTCTCATTTTGGTAGCAACATTTTTAATTGCCTTCTAAAAGAATTCTATCTTTCCGATCCTTTTTAAAAAATAAATAAATAATTTGCTTTTGTTAATGCATTATAAGAACTTTTCAAAAGTTCAAACAATTTCTTCAATGCTTCTGCCATTTGTTCTGACATGTTTTGATGTGGTTCTTGTTCCAAAGTTTTTGTTTTTAGTTCTCCAAACCTTTCCTGCCAAGATTTACAAGTTTTGCAGGAAAATATTTTAAGAACAAAAGTATATAATTTTAAGGGGTAATCAATAAATTTTGAAATTGAAATAATTTCGTTTTATTTTTAAAATGAGTATTGTACTACTAAAAGATGGGCTCAGGCATTGAATGAACTTTCGAAAAGACTGCTAATGAATAATTAGCCAATATTATAGAATTTACTATGTTAGAATAAAACTTTCTTACAATAATTTAAAATTTGTTTTCGATCTTTCAGTATATCTAGACTTCAATTGCTACCTTTATAATTAGTCTTCACCCTGCATTATTCTCTAACCAGAGTGTACACTTTACAAAACATAGAGTTGGTACAGAGAAAGAGACATGAAAATATTCTTGCAATTTTAACCCTTTATTGGATCATATTCTTTTAGTAAGACTATGTTTTGGTATACTAGAGATTGATTTGTAAAAAGAAATTCCTTATTCAGAGTTCTCAATAGGAATAAAAATGGGCAGTGCGCTTCCTCACAGAAAAGGGCCGTTTGAGTTTTGAAAGGTTACTCACTTAACACTGATAAAATTTATCAAAATATGTAATAACTGAATTTGATCCTCAATTTTTAGGCTGCCCTTTTATACTCCTGCATGTGCATATTTCACTAAGTAATTCTCACTCATTATCAAAACAATGGAAAAATTTGAAGCTTTTGAAAGATAATTTAAGACTCAAGCTAAAAGACAATCTCTGTGTATACATTTTCTTCACAAAAAGTATACTGAGTGTAATTGATGAAAAACTTTAAAGTTCTTTTTTATGCTATTTTGAACTGAAAATGATGAGAAAATAAATATTTAAAGGTGCATTTTTAAACAAAAGGAGGTATTTAATTAAATAAAATAATGTTAAAATTTAAAAACACAAAAAAATTCATTAATATACCCCAATTATCAAATGAAAGAAGTGTATATCTCAGGAGTTGTCATATTATGCAAATTGAAACTATAGAACGGGACAACGTAATAAAAATAGTATTAAAATAAGGGAATGAAATTAAAATTAAAAATTTATCAGTTGCTGAATAAATCAGAAGTGGAATTTTCATTAAAACAGGTGGTTAAGAAAACAACCTTTGCCTGAAAAAATAAAAGGGCAGAGTTTTTAAGGAATAGCAGTTAATTTTTACAAAAAGGCTATGAGTGCATTTATGGTAATCAGAGGCCAAGGGGGTGGGCTGCCTTTCTAAAAGCACTGAGGGAGAACACTGCCTTATTACCTAAAATTAATTGAAATCATTTTAGGGGTGGGACGTAAGTGGGAATTTCAAAATGTTGTATTCAGTATAAAAAATGCGCACGGATAATAAAATTTATTGATTCTGTATTTTAACTGCAAATAAAACGAGAAATTATCAAATGATGAATCTCCTCTGTATTGGCCTCTTTTCTTGGCTTACCTCTTCTGTTTTCCACATTTATGTAACCTAGTGATATAATGCTAATCATTAATTTTTATCTATCAAAATTATCATCAGAAGACCACACAAATCATAGGTGGGAAGTATATTTATAAAATATGGCCTTAGGAAGGGATAAATAGAATTCTAAATTGGTGTATTAAAAATTTATGTGTATGTTAATGATCTAATTTTAAAAATTCTAGGTAGTTTTTAACTTTTCTGAAAATAATCACCTAATAAAAGATCTAGTTAAAGAAACGCAGTCATGAATAACTACTGACTAATTCATCTTATGGATAAATTTATTATCTTATATATTAGCTATAATTTTTTTATGGATATTGTTAACAAAACTAAATTTAAAATAAGAAAAATTTTCCCTCCCTAGTAAGTATAAAAATAGTGCAACTTAATTCACAAGATTTCATGACATGTCACAAGGTTTTTGTGAATTCCTGGTTTAAAAAAGTTTGCGAGGCTTTTGTGTGTAGATTTTAAAAGTGCCTTTTCCTATTAACATTTGGTATGGTAGCTTTTAATTTTTAACCGAGTTGCTTGAAGTTTTAACAGTTTATAGACACTCTACACAACTTTCGACTCTTAAAAATTCAATAGGTTGCTAAAATATTACGAGATAGAGCAACATTGCCATAAGAAATTAATTAAAAAAGCTGCAAAGAATTAAAAATATCAAACAATGCCACATTTATGCTTTATTTATCTTTTTTCATGATAAGGTTCTCATCAGGGTTGGCAAGTTTTTTACACATGACGGTTTTTACCGGTTATTACCATGGTTTTTACCGTCATGTCAAAAACCCATAGTTTGGATAAAACTGTATTTTTATTTGAGTTTAACTGCTTATAATTTAAAATTTATTTTTTTTTGGAAATAAAATTTAAAACAAAGTTGCTAAAAGATATTTAAGAACAGATTCCTGCATTTTCCCAACATGATTATATCAAAACATACTATTTGAAGTAAGATATTAGGATACTAATCAAAATTTTCAACATTTCCAAGCATTTTGTTGGGCATATTACATTACTGAAGAATGTCAAGATTGATTACTTTCATTCATAAAATCTTGCTTTGAGAAACACATGTAAGAAAGCCTCATAAAATAAACTTTTCTTATCATTTTTGTTTTCAATATTTTACACAGAAATGAGACATGAAAAAGCCTGGGAAATCCTTTTAGAGTTTCCTTGCAACATTGCACTAACCTTTTGTTATCATTATCCTCAATGATCTCGAATCCTCATTATTCTTGAATTTCAGACTCATTCATACTAAACTCAGAAATCGACTGGGCAATGAAAAATGTGCAAAATTAGTCACTTGCTATCGTATGCTTCGGCACAGTGACCCCGACTACTGAACATATAATTTTGTTTGTAATTAAGTTTTGTTTAATGTGCTTTTTCAACTGAATAAAAGCTTTTAACTTGACAAAATAGCAGTAATTCTTGACTTAGAGTTTGTTAGTAGTTACAAGTTTTGAAAGTTTTGTTTAGCTTATTTCTAATATTTAAGAAATGCCAAATTTTAAATTCTTCTTTTTAGTTCTTGAATTTATTAATAGTTCCAAGCTTTTTTGTTTGTTTGTTTATTTCTAACAATTAAGAAGTGCAAAATTTTGAATCCTTTGCAAATCAAGCTATAATGATAAAAGTAAGTATCACTATTTTCAATAAGTATATTACAATATTTCTGTATGAATGTATATCCTTCTATAAGAATACATGTATATAGTTGCAAAATCAATAGCAATCATTTACAACATTCATTTATAAAGGCAATTATGTGAAAATAATATATTGTCCGCTATATGCCATAAATGAAAGGAAACGGTAGGTTTTTGACAGTTTTTACCGGTAAAAACGCGGTTTTTACCACTGTCATGTCAAAAACCAGTTTTTGACGGCAAAAACCCAACCCTGGTTCTCATATGTTCCAACAACAATTAAAATGAATTATTAGAGAAAAATTCTAATGGGATTTCTCATCGTTTCTTAAAAATAGATATT